TAAGATTTAATTTTGTCACCGTTGTGCAATGGATGTCTCCAGAAAAAGTTATTATACCTTGAATAGGCTTAGTAAAAGTTAGAGAGTAGAGAAATTCAACAATACTGTGTAGGGGTGACGCGTAGAAAAATTATGAATACAATTTCGGTGTTTCGTGTCACCGATAAGCCGGTGCAAACATACTTCGAACATCATTTACTAGACTCTTTACTTACTCTTGGCGTTCTGGGCATTAAATCATTTTCACATAAAAACATCGAATTTGAGTTGATTTCCTACTTCACAAAGTTTCCTACATACCTAACGTACACGGGTGATYTAAGGAGACTTATTTCTGTTCAGTAATATTTGTCATATCATCATGCAAAGACGTATGCATGAAGAACATTAACAAATCGTTTAACTTTATTACAAAARTTCAMTTTCCGTAAAGTATGTRTTTCGMGCGCTTTACTCAACTTATGRCCAACATAAYCGGCCTACTGACCGTACTATTCGCAACACCATCACAAATTTTGAGTCCCARCGTTCATTACTGGATAATATTTGATCGATTAGATCACGACCAGCACGCAGTGAAGAAAATATAGCAGCCTCWGCTAAGAGTCTACRCGAAGACCGTAGAGAGTCGATTCGAGAGCGTGCAAAAACTRAAACCGCTCGACCTCCCCAAGCGACACTCTATGGGCTCTTGCATATTTCCAAGAAKATCCCACGTTTTCGAGCYATGCTTTGTTCTGCWATGAGGCTCATTTCAGGCTCAATGGATAAGTAAACAAGTAAAATTGCTGCCTTTGGGAAGAAAAGCACAACCTGAAGAGAAGAAAGAGCTGTCATTTCATGTGGAAAATACAATGGTTTGGTGTGGTTTATGGGACAGTGGAATGATCGGTCAATAATTCTTCAAAAATTATGCCGTTGAAAACGTAACCATCAATAGCGATCGTTATTGCGTCGTGATAACCGACTATTTGACACCTGAAATTTAAGCTCTTGATCTCGGCGATATTTGATTTCAACAAGGCGGCGCCATTTCCCACAAATCACATCAATCAATACATTTATTGTCGCCGTTACTTTTTTTCCTGTGGGGATATGTAAAGGCCTTGGAGCAAAACATCACGCGTGATTTTTGCCAGTTACCAGTCGAAGTGATAGTTTTGGACAATATGTCATGGAGTCTTGACGCATGTYATTTTATTTAAAAATTTTATATTTYGCTATAAAAATATRTAARTATACCTGTATTKAGCTCTAAAGTTCTTAAAGRCTATGTTGTAATGGGTTTTCTTTTGATTTTATAAGTTGTATTCTTTTGATGGCCTGGATGCTCTTAACTTTATTTGAGTGATTCTGTGGTTCTTGATATTAACTAGTAATAAATTTTAAACCAATTAAGATAGTTAAAATCTAAATGCAATGGTTTGAAAATTAAATAGGTAAATTAATACTGAAATTTTGTCAATCCTAATTTTGTGAAATTATTTTAAAATAATTACAACTAAGTCACAAGTTAGAGTTAATCKTTATAATAACAATCGTGTTCGTACTTCGGCGGACGTAAGAGTCAGAAGAAAGTAAAGCTAAGAAATTTGAACCAAAGACATATATCATGACTATTTACGCTTTTTTTTCTGCAGRCTTACGTTGTCACTGTCTAATCTTGGTACCAACGATGATTCGTATGATGATTATAAACAATAAAATCATGATAAAATATTTTTATCGACACTAGAAGGCCGTTGTATTTATCAAGAGTTGCTTCTACTAATTAACATTTTTGAAAAATTCTTCGAATATTGAAAACTTTTAATTTGCTCTAGAAGCTATTAATATAACAGGAAGCAATGGCATTTTAAACGCTGTTGGCTTTAGTAGAAAATCAATAAAGCACAGAACTAAAAGTTGTTGGCTTCAACAAATCCATTCTTTAAAAGTATAAAATTCTGTGTGCTACAGCTTTCACTTTGTGAAAAATCTATACACGTTCTATGCAGTTTACAATTCCTTCCAGTAAGAAAATATATGTATGTGAAGACTGCTTGGCACTGCAAGCCAAGGGTATTAGATAACCGCAATCGCTGCAACTGCACCCCGCCAATTGACAGCACACGCCAAGCAAACGACAGCGCTTTTAGCGGTGCGTTCGCGCATACGCCGGTAGCAATACTGCGGGGCAACAGCTATCATTGGCGACAAGCTAAGCCTAGCCAAGCCAAACTTTGTCGGCGTTGCAATTCTCTGTTTATTTATCTGACTTTATACCGAGTTGCTGACGCTTTYGTTGTCGTTCCGTATGCTGCAACTACATGTTTTTCTTGTTGCTGTTGCTGCTTTTGTTGTGCATTGTTGAAGTTAGTTTATTTTATACGAAAATATTCTGCGYTGAACAACTCAAGTGCGTTCAACTGTTCACTTCGAGTAATTCCACTTTTGTCGTTCTTCGCTTTTATCTCGCAATGTCTTTTGTTATTATTGCTGTTGTTGTTCTGAGTTGTTCAGATGTGACATTGCATTGTCATTGCAATGCGATTTCCTTGGTTGCGGTTTCATGTTCGCCTTTTCGTGGTTACCACCCACTTGTTGTTGTAGTAGCATATACATACATATGTATATACTTTTATTTATTTAGTTGTTTCTTGAACACTTTTAATGCTGTTATTTCSTTGTTGTTGTTTTATTGTTTGTTTGACAAGTGTACATGCACACACACACGCTCCTAGAAATCCTAAACTATAACTATGGTCTTTTTCTTTCAAAGTCCTTGGTGGTTGGCTGGCCTCAGTATAAAACACTTTAGTGGCTTAGTTGTTGCTGTCATTGTTCTTTCTGTTTTCCTTTYTACTTTGCTGATTCCAAGGTTCCTTAAGTACTTATTGCACTCGTGTCAGTCCGTATTGAGGCCACTGCGTGCTGTTAAAAAAAAGCATTGTTGTTGCCCTTTAAAAAAGCTGATGCCATTTAAAGCGATTTTCTGGTTTCTTGTCCTGCAAACGGTGCTTTAGTGGTGAAACAGTTGCATGCTAGCTTGTATTTTTGCAGTTGTAAATAGAAAACGTTTGCAATTTGCAAAAAATAGTTGGAAAATTTGTGAACTTGCTGCTCCAAATGGATAATGTACTTGAACAAAGGATTATTTCGGCAGAAATCAAGAAGAAACAAATTGGAAATAGGCGTGAACTGCTTGTTTAACCTCCCGTTTAACAAAAAAGCGATAGASGAGTCACGCGGTAAATTAATATTTACATTATATAAGTGTTTTCGGCAAATATACAAAACGGCTGAAAGCTTTAATTTAAAGCTCGTCAAAAGCTTTTAAATACCATAACCTATTTTACACATACCTCAAAATTCTATATGAAAGCGATAAAAAAACAAAATTTTTAAATTCTTTTTAAGAACACTGAAGAAGTCTTTCTCTGGAGCTTATTCTTCATCATTATATCCAAACATATAACTAACAACATTATTTATTTTTTAAGTAAGTCTAAATTATTTACTATAAGCAATATAATTCGAGTATGAAGTGTCTCAAATGGCAAATGTTCTAAAGGGTCTTTTGGAAGGTAATAACTATGCTAACACTCTGTACTAGAGTTCACAATAGACCGATTAACCTAATCTCAAATCTCTGAAATGTAGGTCCGAGGTGTTTAGTCATTCATTATATTCTCGGAATGTGCTGATCAGAAAATGTTTCTTGTCTTCAGATTTCGAGACTGTGCTAAATTCAAGTTAGTAGAAATTTATAATCTCTGTTCCGTCCCCGTGTTGTTGGGGTTCTTTAAGACGATATAAAACTTAGAAAAATATCGCAATGATATGTTTGAATGTGTGTAGATAGTGGTTGCTAGCATTAGGTATTTTAAGAGGAGGAAAATAGTGTAACCTTAAAGTGAGTATTGCTACGATAATAGCACAGCTTTAGAAGTGATCTATTTATAAATCGAGCCTAAAGAAAGTACGAATGTTACTACATTGTTCTTAATCATTTTACATATTGCACTCAAAGGTTTAATTACCAGGTTGCAAGTTTTGCAAGTGTTTTTTCACATTTTTCAGGTTTTGAGCTCTGAAAATAAGAGCTTTTATGCTTTTCACTTTATTTGACCACATATAGAACGAGCCATTAAGAGGCAAAAGTTAAGACAATTTCAAAAGTTGATGAGATATAATCTATTAAGAGGTTTTAAAATCACTTTTAAAGAAGTTTGCTTTTCCACCATACAGAAATACTATACAGCTATCGTAAAATTCTGCCTGAACATTATCTATCATATCCACCCTAAATTTATCTAAAGTGCTAGTTTCTGCTTTTCAKGAATGGTTGCGATTAACGTATCTTGCCAGATTTATGGTAACTGAGGCGCCACGAACAGGTCCTCGTAAAGCTCCTTTAACATGAACGTTTATTTGCGGCATAAAATCGTTTGCCAACGATCGGCTAAGAATCAAATATTAARTTATTTTGCGAATCCCGCCTTTTCACAACAAACCTACTAATCTACCTACATATATACTACACAAAAGTATATACTCCGCGGACTCTGGTGACTTCTTTCATACGGTCGCTGCCACGCTGAAACACAGGCGACGGGTACTGGGAGCGATAGTCATGAAAACAATAATTCTAAAAACTCAAATTCAAAGAGCTCAGGCAAAGCGCTAAAAAGTCGCAAAAATAACAATGAGATTTTTGCATATAGAAAGAGGGAAAGAATGTGAGAAAAAACGGCTGGCGAGTGACTTTTATTGAACTGGTAAGCCATTGCGAGTGTTCCCGTTATCCTTCGGTAACGCTTTGAACACAGCGCATTTTTTATGGCGCACAGGATTTGTGCCGTTTATTGTTGTTGTATTTCGATTAGTTGGATTTTTTATTGTTGTTGTACTTGCTGCATAGCTACTTCGTGTTTCATGCTTCAATTTTTACAACCTCTCTATTTCTTATTTGAATTTAACTCGATTTTTTCCGATGGCTTATTGTTTTTGCTTCACAGATAGCAGCCACTGTTTGTCCATGACGGAAGTGCGTATACCGAAACACATCATGCGGCACGAGGACGCGATGCTGGGCTGCAAATACGATTTGGATGGCGAATCACTGTACTCGGTGAAGTGGTATAAGGACGGTTTTGAATTTTATCGCTATGTACCGCGGGATATGCCGCCAGGGCAAGTGTTTCCACTGCCGGGTGTTGATGTCGATGTAAGTATGTTACTGTGTTTTTATTGTATTTCCGCGGATTTTAGCCGCATTTTAATATAGTTCACGCGTCGCTTACTTTCGATTTTCACTGTTAGCGGGTGAAAAAATATTCCATATATGTGCGAACTTTAAGGTTTTAGAAGTAGTTCCCCTAACTAAAAATATTCTCTGAAAAAAATTATTTGAGGTGAGTAATATCTATAAATAAATTTATTTTTAAAATACTTTTATTATGCTCAATTTAAGCAAACAAACATTATTTCGGTTATACTTTCTTTAAGAGAATAAGAACTGTATGCCCTATTGAGATTGATCCGTTATCAAATGCTACATGTAAAAACTGACATTCGTAGGTATTCAGTCGTCATTAAGGTAATGTGCATATAACYATTTTAAAGCACATGTCATAAATACATGAACAGAAAAGTTTTTCGCTCAACAATATAGACCAATTTTGATTTCGACATCGTATCGATAAAATAAGACACAGCTTTATGGTTATTAACCATCTTTCAGTAGTAGATCTAATAAGAAGGAAAACCGTTAACTTCAGTTGCACCGAAGCTAAATACCCTTCACAGGTGCATTTCTGTCAGTAATTACATATGTGCTCAGTTTGTATGGAAGCTATATGCTATAGTAATCCGATCTGAAAATTTTTTTCAGAGATTATATTATTACCTTAAGCAGTAATCCATGTCAAATTTCGTGAAGATACCACGTCAAATGTGAAAGTTTTCCATACATGAGCTTTATTCCGATTGTTCGTTTGTATGGCAGCTATATGCTATAGTTAACAAATCTAAACAATTTCTTCGGAGATTACATTGTTCGCTCAGGAAATTATCTATACCAAATTTCGTAAATACGAGGTGTGTTCAAAAAGTATCGGGAACTTTGTGTTTTTTCAAAAATTATTTATTTGTTCATGAATATCTATTTTGTCCTCTTAAAAGTAATCCCCATGAGATATTATACACATGTGCCAAGGGTTTTTCCAATCTTCGAAGCACTTCAAAAAATCATTTTTTTTTTATCTTCTTCAGCTCCTCCTTCGACGCCGTCTTTATCTCGTCTAGAGAAGCGTAACGTCGTCCTCTCATGGGCTTCTTCAGTTTAAGGAACAAGAAAAAGTCACAGGGGGCCAGAAAGGCCGAAGTTCGCGCACAACAAGCAACGATTTGTGAGTAGGGGGGTCGTTATCGTGGTGCAAAAGCCAATTTTTGTCACATATTCTCGGCCTTCTGAGAACATTTTGTACCACCGATAAACGTTACTTCGGTCCAAGGTAGCTTCTCCGTATGCCACAGTCAACATTCGGAATGCATCCGGGCACTTAATTTCGTTTTTCACACAAAATTTCAAACAGGTTCTTTGATCCATTTTTTTGAATAGGTAAAAATCGAAGACGTTCCAAAAGCTGTCAGCTGTCAACAATTGAATGAACATTCAAAAGGGCCGAGCTTGTCGGCATAACTGAGAGACATGAGTACCAACATAACGCCACAAAAAATTCGAAATTCGAATATACGTAACCCGCGAAAATTTAAAATTCGCGATACTTTTTGAACACACCTCGTATGTCTTGTCAAATGTGAAAGTTTTCCATACAAGAACTTGATTGCGATCGTTCAGTTTGTATGGCAGCTATATGCTATAGTAATCCGATCTGAACAATTTCTTCGGAGATTATATTTTTGCTTTAGAAAATAACCTGTGCCAACTTTTATGGAAATACATTGTGAAAAGTGCAAAATTTTCCATACAAGAACTTGATTCCGATGGTTCAGTTTGTATGACAGCTGTATGTTATAGTGGCCCGATATCGGCAGTTCTGACAAATGAGCAGCTTCTTGAAGAGAAAATAACTTTTGCAAAATTTCAAAACGGTATCTTAAAAACTGAGGGACTAGTTCGTATATATACAGACAGACGGACAGACAGACGGACATGGCTAAATCGACTCAGCTCGACATACTGATCATTTKTATATGTATATACTTTATAGGGTCTCCGATCCTTYCTTCTGGGTATCACTTCGTGGCAAACTTAATATACCCTGTTCAGGGTATAAAAATTATATATATGTACGTTCTAAAAAACAGCATATGCCATGTACTACTGTGTGCTGCGCGCACAGAATTTAGTTTTTATTGAGTCACAGATTGTTCTTTTAAGTTTGAGCACATCTTCGTTATATCTATTGGACATATACGCTTCTCTATAATGCTAATAAAGCAAGCTATCTCATGCAACTATTTTTAACAGTCTCCGAACAAAATCTTAATTTTTTGTCAATTCTTTTTTTGTGGGTGAGGGGGTGGAAAATGCCTTCCGGATCATCGGTGCTATCGTCACAGCAGCTTGCAAGTCACTAAAAACCCCCCTCTAAGGAATCGTCGCCTACTTAGGACCGCATTTGCATTACTTCAGGGTGGCGTTCCATTTTTCTCATTGAGAGATTTACATCTAAGCACTTGCGTCCAGGTCCCGTTTTTTGCTGCAAAGCAAGACTGCTGCGAAATTCTTGATAATCTCTCAGTTTGCTTCGCTCCCCAACATGTCGCTGACTAAATTGAACGCATTTATTGGGCCAACCAGGTTTTCTTAGGCGGTGTGTTCTAGTTGCCAACGTTCACATTAAAAGGATGTGAGGTCAGCGTCGTCTTCTATCGCATCGTTATATAGGCATGAGGGCTCTTCGACTTTACCCACTCTGTGGAGGTACTTTTTGAAGTATCCGTGACCGGATAATAGCTGGGTTGTATAAAAATCGACTTCTCCGAATGTGCGGTTTGTCCATAAGTCTAGATTTTTTATTAGCCTGGCCGTCCATCTGCCGCGACTTTCATTCTCCCAATATTGTTGCCATGTTGTTATTGTATCTTTCCTTATTTGTGTACTGCGTTCTTGTTATTATCGGCTGATTTCTTTAGCTCCCACAGCTTTTTCCTTTCATATGCTAGAAGGTCAATTAATGCATTACCGCTTATAACTAATATTGCATCGCCTGATACTGTCCGATAGGCTGATGCGACTCTGAAGGCTGCGGTGCGGTACACCCTGGCCATTATCTTACGCYGGTTTTCCTTTTTAAGCGCGTTTGCCCAGATCTCGGCTCCGTATAGTAAGACGCTGATTGTCGTCGACATTAGGAGCTTTCTCTTTTCTTGCCTGGGGCCTCCTATGTTAGCCATTAATCGACTCAATTGAGAAGTGATCTTCGCTGCCTTACCTGCAGCGTGCTGGATTTGTACCCAGAAGGTTAGTCTAGGGTCCAGTCTTACGCTTAGGTAGTTTACAGCTCTCTGTGTCTTAAGAATATCCGTAGTTGTGTGCATGCTTATCTCGAGAGGTATGTGCTTGTTTGTTAGTAGTAGTAGCTCTGTTTTCTCTGTAGCGAGCTGGAGGTTGTGTCTGTCGAGCCATGTTTGCGTATCATGACCTGATTCAGCTTTCTTCGCGCTTCTTCTGTATCCCTTGCTGTGATTACTGCCGCCATGTCGTCTGCGTAGCCAATTAAATATGATTCCTCTGGCATTTCTAGTTTTAATATATCGTCGTAGCTAATGTTCCATAAGTCTGGGCCTKGGATTGATCCTTGTGCTGCTCCTGACGTAACCGCTATCTGACGTGGTCCTTCTTTAGTTTCATAAAGCAGTTTTCTGTTGCTAAGGTCGCTCCGCACCACAGCCCTGAGGTAGTCGGGTATCTTTAAGCTTTTTTTGAGAGCGTCGATCATGTCCACCCATCTAGCACTGTTGAAGGCGTTTCGGACATCTAGAGTCGCCAGTAACACTATTCTTTTATATTTATGCCATCTACGCTGCGCTGCTTCTACGCTTTCAAAGACGCACTTTATGGCTCCTATAGTTTATCTGCCGGGTCTGAAGCCGTGTTGTCTAGAAGACAGTCCTCCAGCTTCGTTAATAGCCGCTTCGAGTCTGGGTTTTATTAGGCTTTCGTATAGCTTTCCCGCTGTATCAAGCATGCATAGTGGACGGTATGCTGATGTCAGACTGGCGTCTCCTTTTCCCTTACTGATTAGCACCAGCCGTTGCTTTTCCCATGGTTCAGGGAATATTCCAGTTTCAAGGCAGGCGTTATACATGTTCAGTAGTACTGCCGGGCGCTCTGCTGCGATTATTTTGAGGATTTCTGCTGGGATCCCGTCCAGGCCGGGTGATTTGTTGGCCTTGAGCTTGCCAGTGGCTATCTGCAGCTCTTYCAGGGTGAACTGGGGAATTTGCGTAGATCTTAGTGTTTGTTCTGGATCCCTAGCCCTGCTTTCGTGTGTGAGGACTAGTGAGTTCACGATGTGATCCATTTTTACAGCGGTTAAGTCAGGTGGCTTTGCTCGAGCGCCGAGCTTCTTCATAACTACTTTATATCCAAGTCCCCAGGGATTTCTGTTTATATCCTCGCGTAGTTCCTCCCATTTTTTCTTTTTGCTGTCGTCGATGGCGTGCTTCAGCTCCTTTTTTGCTGCTTTGTACTGCTCGGCTTCTTCGGGTGCGGCTCCTCTGCGCCTGGATGTCGTGTAGGATCTGCGGAGGCATGTGCGTCTGAGTTGGGCGATATTTTCAGTTCACCAATAGACTGCTGCCTGGTGTTTGCTGTGGGAAGCCTTAGGCATTGATTTTTTACAGGCTCTTGCTATATTAAGCATTKTGTGCTCGACAATTTTTCTTGCATTTTCTGAGGAGCTACTAGATGGGGTTTGCTCGTCTATTGCGGAGATCAGTTTCGAAGTATTTAGCTTCGAGATGTTCCACCTCCGCGTTGCAGTCTTTTTCCTGTACTGGTTACCGTTTGTTCCAATGTCGATAGTGAAGGAAATGTACTTGTAATCCTCCAGGACTTTCCATTTCTTTATTGAGCCTGCCAAGCGTTCTGATGATAGAGTAATGTCTGGTGTAGTTTGCTCGCATCTCGGTCTTCTAAACGTGGTTGCATTTCCCGTGATTAGCACTATTAGGCTTAAGCGCGCAGCCATTTCT